AAAATGGCTAGATAAGCAAGCGCGCGTGCTTCTCATGTGACTCCTTCGTTCCTGACTGATGACAAGATAGAATCCCAATCAAACTTCAACTTACAGGTAAGTCTCGTTTAATTTAAGAATTATAATAGGTACATACAGGAGAATAATACATACAGGAATATAATAAAAAATTACAATTGTATCAGAAACTATAAAAAGATAAAATATCACTAAGATCGAGTAATACTAGGCAGGCTTGATCAATCGAATGTTCACACCGTGTTGTTTGCAAGTCGGCACATGCTCGGGATGAAGGACCGCTGAAAACGCTTGGTGCGCACGCCAGGGAGGTCGTACTTTCTAATTCTCCTTAGGTTATAGTGGTTTACGTAATTTGTGGGAAATAAGTGAGATAGTTTGTGGTCATTTGAGGTTGCACCAAACAGTTTAGAACACTGTTCCTCGCGCCGAGACTGCAAAGTGTCTAAATTATAGTTACTCAAGCATAGACTGTAAGAACAATCTCGTAAGATGATACTTAACGCCCTTTTCTGTACTCGTTCGATATCATCACTTAAATACTTGGGCAATGCATGGTGAAAAGCAGGCGAACAATATTCCAGGACAGATCTAATAACAGTGCAGTAAAAGTTGATTATATCACGAGGGTCCACTCCCGCTATCCTAAGGAGAACCAGGAAACATAATCTCTTATTGGCTTTCTTGCTAGCCTCAGATATATGATCATTCCACGTAAAATCATTAGAGAGGGTCACACCTAAGATCTTGGCAGAGCTAACAACAGAGAGATCCTTCCCATTAACGGTTACTGGCTCGAAAGCATGCATGTTCTTCTTAAAGTCGATGTTCATGACTTTACACTTATCGGCATTTAGGGTCATTCGTTGATCGCACGACCAGGTTTCAACAGCGTGAACGGCACTTTGGATGTTGCTCGACTCTCCTCGCGGCACGATCTCGGCTATGCAGTAGTCTCATCCACATATTTCCAGGAATGGAATCCACGGACCCTCAGGGGTTCTGTTTATTATTGTTGTCGTGTTGGCTTCCCTTGCTCATTGTTGACACTACAGAGTTGTTTACCGGAATGTATGTTTTCCCTCGTCAAGTTTATCAGCTTTATTCTTACATGGTTGGCGTCAACAGCGCTGTAAATCCTGTCGTTTATGCGTTTTTCAACTGCGAGTTTAAAACGAAGTTTAATAGGATTGTTATGATAATTATTAATTAATAATTAATAATTAATAATTAAGTTGGGCAGCGGGAGAAACCGACTAATATCACCACGTCATAACAAGAGAGCAGCAAAAGTACCCAACCCAGCTGAGCTGAAGAAAATGAGATGTCATTTACAAATCATGGGAAATACATATATACGCTCTGCCAGAATCTTTGAAAATAGACAGTCAAAGACTGCATGTGGGTACTGGTATAACACAATTTTTGTGGCATTGAAAGAACTAAAGGTTGAGTAAAAACACTAAAAGGTAGTGTTGGAGAATATTAAATTTCTCTCGCATGCAAAACAGAAAACCTGTCGCATTCCACGTATTTATGAGAGTTCCCTGATCCACAAGGAAGAGTTGATTTAAGAATATATTGTCTAATTGACAATCAACCAATAATAAATGGTAACAAATAATAATATTTGAAATGATAATTATAATTATAATAATTATAATAATAGCTATAAAGTAATAATTTAAAGGGACTAGCTTGAAAGCCTCATAGTTCACCTATCCACCAGGCTCCAACAATGATTTCCTATGCTTCTCTTAAGTTCGCCTGTTTATTGAAAAGATTTATTTTTATTTTATAGCAATTTAATTTTCTTGGATATTTCTTTAGGAACTTGTTCCGTTATTCTGCTTCGCTTCCTCAAGGAGGCAGTCACCACCGAAAAATTGTACACGGATGAAAAATTGGAGAGTTATCAAAAAAAATAATGTGATTCCAACTTACTGTAATTAATGTGTTTGTAACAATATTTTTTCACGTAACTCTTTTAATTTCCCCTGAGTCACGGAAATTTGCGCGTGATCAGTAACTCATTACAGTAGGTTATTGTTTTTATGCTAAAAGGAAATTGAACGTACTGAAACTATATCAGCGAACTAAAGTACTATGTAACTGTGTATATTGGATCTGTGTAATATAAACTCCATTTATTTTAATAATCAATGGAGGCTAAACGAATGATAGCCATAATCATGTTAAGAAATGATGAATGACTGTCAAAAAACAGAAAAAAAGAAAATAGAATTTCTTGATAAATTGTTGCTATAACTGCGTTGCCATGACGGAAACCTGAACTTAGATTTCCATTTCAATTAATTCGTTCCTTCAGTTTTACTCTCATCCATATTTACGAACTGTCAGGTAAGACAGGTGAAATGAGACAAAAAAATGAGCTGCGAATTAATTACTTTTGCCTCGAATTGTGACCTCACGTAGCGAAAGCTGTTGTTCAGCGAGTGGATTTTAACTCAAAATTATAGAACATTAATGAAATACATGGTTTGATTACACTGAAGTTATAGACGAAAATGTAAGCAATCCTTTCACTGATCGAAGATATCGAAAGACGTCCTATGTTAAAAGAACCGATTTAGGTAAGTAACATTCTTCGGGAAAACCTTTAGATCATGGTGATTATCTACATTATATTTTGCGCTGCGATTTTCTTGTCTAAACCAACACGATTAGAAAGTGGTCCTTAGTTTGAGAGGAAAATTACGTTGATAATTCTTTCCAGTGTTCATGAAATGCATTATCCCTGAAAAACTCACCCTGATCGCGCGATTCCATAATTATTGTCATTCTGTCATGTCTTTTAAATCTTCATTAAATTCATTCAAAAGTTATATTCCTCAAGACTCAATAAAAAAAAATTCAGAATCCAATTTGGTTGAAAGTAACCTGAAATAAAAAGTAGCCGAAACATCAACAAAAAGGACTGAACAGGTACTGACAGAAGAAAACCATTTTTGCACGGCATTTCACGGAGTACCCGGCCATAAGAATTTAGTGATTTTTCATAGACTCGTTTAAAGACTGAACAGACAGACAATCAGATTGATAAAAAAAACTTGTCATGGAAAAAAAATTTCTTCCCGCTCTTAGTCCTAGAACGACACACGATAATCACATGACAGCAGTATATAGTCTGTCCAAGACAAAAAGGAGAAAGTAACTGTCGCATTTTTCATGCAGAACTTGGATAAGACATTTGAAGGAGAGGCAGTTCACACTCTATTGATTACATCAGCTAATAGCGTTAGCCATGTCCTTTTTCGTGAATGATCTCATCAATTAGGGTACTCTACATCCTTTTAAAATGGTGTCGAGTTTCTTGTTGTGCTGTGTCACTGTTTTTGTGATTAAATTAAAGAATGACCAAACAACATAAGAGCATTAGGACCTGCTCCTTTAGGCGCAAAAAGCCCACGCAAAGGGTTTATTCAAGGGACTGCTGTTCATCCGTGCACTAAAGGTTTGCTGTTCTTGAAATATTTTGCCTGAATTGTTATGTTCTGCATTTTGAAATTTGCTTCATAAATTCTCCATTTCATGGCAATATTGCACCTCCGTGGTCTATTTTCTTCTCGTTCTTCCTCTCTAACGACAAACGTCCTCTCTATTTCAAGTCGAAGGTATTTGTGCAGGACGTAACTCATGACTCAAAAGACCTTGTAGTGGTTCGAGGGATGTTTCCGACATTTTTATTACGTTTATCTATGTGTTATCTCTTTTACCGAATAGTTCGCCCAGCTGACACTGAATTCAGAAAGAGGACCCAGCTGAGATGTCTGCAGACAACGAAGTTCAGTTAAACCGAAGTGAAATGTTCGCTTTGCAGCTAGCAACGAGAACAAAAGCCGAGATTTTCACAGAACTGGTTGTAGTTGTGCTAGTAGGTTTAATCGGCGTGTGCGGAAACTTTCTTGTACTCTTTGTCATAAGCCTTACACCATCGTTAAGAACTATCTCTAACTTTTACGTAGCTTCTCTAAGTGCGATGGAGTTACTGCTGTCTTTCTTCATTTGGATTTTCTTACCAGAGGTAACAGTGAAAGGAAAGTGGACTTTTGATGACGCTACCTGTCAATTTGTAGGATTCACGACGGCCATGTTGGCCACAGGTTCTATTTATTCCATGGCTTTAATCGCAATCAATCGATACTTCCTCATGGTAAAATCGAACCTTCATCGTAAGTACTTTACGAAGAGAAACGCTTGTATATCGATTGCTGCGTCATGGATCTTGGCTGGAAATTTTCCTGTGTCTTACATGATTCTCGGCAACACGTTTGAATTTCATCCCGGAAAGGGCGTCTGTATCTTTGATGTGGGGAAGTTGAATCTAGCGCACGCCTTTGTGACAGGTTTCTTCAACATTCAGCTTCCATATCTTGCCATTTCTTATTGTTATTTCAAGATTTATAAGAAGGTGAAAGAACACAATGCATCACTGAGACGCCCTGGACGCGGTAACGGAAGCGGCAGCGGAATTTCAGCGAAGGAAATTAGAGTAACAAAATTACTGTTCGCTATCGTGTTGAGTTACACGATTTGTTGGACGCCATTTTATCTCATCGATTTACTTGGAGTGTTTCTTGGTCAATTTTTCGCCCCTCGCCTTATTTACGTGTTTTATAGCATTTTTGTTAGCAGTACTACTGCCATCAGCCCGGTAATCTACGGCGTTTTCAACAAAGAGCTAAAAGGAGAAATCTTAAAATTTTTAAAATCCAAATGCTGTTGTATGTGCAGAAAAGTCAAAGTTGGAGTCTCTGTTACAACGTCAAATAGGCATTCATGACCACGTGCCTAGTGTGAAAAGAAAGGCAGTTCTGGTAAAATTTAATGAATAAATTGTGATCGTTGGCGCTTGTATTATGCTAATTACTATTAATTGCACGCTGAAACTATATTTGTAAACTTATAACTTCAGATTATATATCAATCAATGGAGGCTAACTGAATTAATAATATAACCATTCGGAGAGAATAACAAAGTAAAACGGATTTCCTCTCCAAACGCTTCGAATGCGTTTCCCAGACGGAAACCCGAAACCAAGATTCCCCTTCTATTCATTTCGGTCCGTTTACGATTTACGATTTTTTTTCTTCTATCAATTAATTTGAATGACGGATAGGACAGGTGAAGTAACACACAAAAAGGCTTGCAAATTAATTAAACTGTTTTTCGGGCTGGAGATGTCAGGTAGCAAAGCTGTTTGACTTGCAATTGTTAGAAGTTAGAGGAAGGCATGGATCTGAAAAAACAAAGCGATTTTCCGTGACATAAAGAACCTTTTCTTTGTTCAGAGATATCACGATCAGAAGATATCCGATGTGAAAAGTACCAATTACAGCACGTGACCTGTACCTGCCTCGCCATGTTTAGACGCCGTCGAACTCCTACGATTTGATCTATAATATAATTTTGCCTTTCAGCAGCCACACGTTTCCTCACAATTAAGTGAACGGAATCATGTTGGTTTTATACCGAAATGATCCTCTGGATGCTTACAAAGTATTTCTGTTGAAATCATCTGCTTTCAGTTAGCTGCCGTTATATTCTGAGGTGGGGAGGTTGGTGCATAGGTTAATCACCTCGCGGAGATAAGAAAGAAACAAAGTATTTTTTTTTTTTTTTTTTTTTTTTTTTTTTTAATATTTCGCTCCTGTGTATACTAGATAAGAAAAATCCACAAGATGAGAGATCCAACTCTGAAGCTCTATTTAAAAAGTTTGTCTCTATTCATAACCGCCTCCCGGTTAGCTCAATGGATAGAGCGTTGGACTGTAGTGCGGGAGGTCGAGGGTTCGAGCCCCGGCCGGACCAACACTCAAGGTCTTAAAATAATTGAGAAGAATTTACTACCTTTCTATAACGTCAAGAAATGGTTAGATATTCTAGTCTTCTCGGATAGGGACGAATAAATGGAGGTCCCGTCTCCTGCAGGGTTGGGGCAGGAGACGTTAATTTCCCACACACGAGATTACTGTGTGATGGATGTCCTCCCCTGGGGTGGGATGGGTGGGTTAGGACAGCAGGTCCACATCAGCTATTACAGCTGCCAAATTAATCAACCTGCTTAAACAAATAAATGAACAACTTCAACTTCATCTAACGTCCGGTGATCGGTGAATACATTAGGATCGGAAATATCCCATGCAGTTGGTTAATTCAGTTTATCTCTTCAATTTTTTTCTGCAATTGATACTCATGCCATGTCAAGGACCATTCATTATTGTCGCGGGGGAGGGGGAGGGGGAGCTGGTTTGGTGGATTTTGGTTGTGTCACGATAAAACTTGCCTGATCCTTCCACTAGGGTCCGCAAGGCTCAGCAATGTCTTTATCGACCCCTACCCCCCCCCCTCGCCCCTCCTGAATTATTCTCTTGCTCAGTAATCTGCCAAGTGCTACTTTTGGCTTGGCCACTAAGCTTGAGGGCTGGGCTACCAAGGACCAAAAACAAAATGGCGGCAAACGACCTTGTGAGGTAAGAGAGACTGGCATAGCATATGTTGTCGATTCACTTACGGCAGTGAAGTTCTAACTTTTCATGTATTGTTTTAGAGAGGGAAACAACGCTTTTGTTGACGACGATTTTGAACTCGCTGTCAAGGTAGATATGTGGTTTTCTTCGTTTCAAACTCAAGTTAAAAACATTTGACGTGCGACTCTAGTAGCTATTTTTCTTTCAGTCATTTCATAATGAAATTGTGACTCCTTACCACATTTTATTCAAAAATAAGATGCAAATGATATCTCTGGAACCAAAGTTCTTGCAGTGTGACGCATAAACTCTTCCCTTACTTTCGTACTCATAACTTTTATCCTCAGTAATATTTTAGATCGTGAATTGATCTAAAATGTGTTTCGTTTGCAGAAATACTCTGGAGCCATAGACCTGAATGCATATGATGCCGACTGCTATTTGAAAAGGGCAGCGGCGTTTATGAAGCTTGAAAACTACCAAGGTAACATAGGCAGCCAATTTTTACACTGAGCTAGATCCCTGAACAGCATGTGTTCATGCATATTTGGATTGAAGGTCCATTACTGGTACTGCATGTGTCGAACTCTGATCAGCTGTTAGAGTTTAGAGATTCAATATCAATAAGTTTTCATATGTTGGGATAATCCAAGACGGTTGACAGTTTCAGTGTTTCCAGACCATACCAGATTTTTCCGACAATTAAAAACTTGAAATCATTGAGATCACAACTATCTGGTTGGTGGGCAACAGATCAAGAAATCAGGAAATTGGAGATATTTTCCTCATTTCTCCCAGATTTTTGCCATTATCTATAAAAATACTTCAATTTTCAGTTTTGGGGATGTCAATGATAGTTTTAGCTCGTTACCAGTCCTCTAGTTGCTTTACACTGCTGTACCCCCAAGTCACAAATAATAATGGCAAGTGGAAGATCTCAATCTCCTATTATATTGGCAAAATCTGGGACAGTTAGGAAACAATGAAATTGCAGATCATCTGGGATTGTAAGAAAATATTTCTCAAACCAGCTGTTTGTTGGTTTACAGTAATTTAGGCAATATTGGCTCTAATATTATAAGAATTTTATAACAGACAGTAAGGAGAATTTCTAATGAGATCTTGGGAGTGAAAGGGTTAAAGGCTGTGACATGGCTGGCCCCCCTCCCCTTCCCATTGAAGGCCTCAAAGCTACAGTATACCTGAGAATACTTTCCAGAAGGGGTAACAATAATTTTAGATGCTTTGTATTATAGACTCTGAATCAGGACAAGCTATTGTCATGTGAGTAGTTATGGCCTTCATAGTTGCTTAGGAATTTAATGTACCTGTTACAAACTAAAAAAATACCAGAAAAGTATGGGTTACAGTTTAAATTGTTTTCAGGTCAAAATATTTTGAACCTGGTTGATTTGCACTTTTCTTTGGTACAGATATTTAACAATTATTCCTTGAACATTTGTTGGATTTGAGATGGTGAATAGTAAATACAATACATAGCACAAAGTTGGCTACAAACAATCTGTATCCAACAAGTGGGAACGGAATAACTGTTTCACTAAATTTCATGAAATCCCAAATGTTTGGATATTTGGAGCCTTGTTTCAGCTCTGCAAAAGTTGGCGCAATGCATTTCCATGTAAGGTGACTTGGAATATGATGATGAATGAACCAATCAGAACACGAGAAATGCAATATTTGGCATTAAAAATTTGATAAATTAAAATACAATAATCATAAACAAAGGGAATATCTACATGTACCTATCAAACAAGGTTGAATTCATTTTGACTTGAAAATCATTTTAAACTGCAACAAATACCTTAATTGTATAAGCTCAATGTCCTAGATCTTGAAGTTAGAATAAATATTTTTCTCTCAATATTATATACAGCTGCAGCGGCAGATGCATCTTCAGCAGCAAGTCTGGAACCAGACAGCTCTAAAGCACACACAAGAAAAGGGTAAGAAGGATGTTGTCGGGTACTTCTTCAAATAAGCTTTTTTTAGCACTACATCTATTATGCATATGCAAGTGTGACGAAGTGTTAGGTTTTTTTTTTATGGTTTGCTTTCAATTGGTTTTGCTTTATTTGATTTTGTGATTAGACAAGAAAACTTGCACCACTTTCTAATTAATACCAATCAGATTCAAAACTGAAACCTCCTGCAACTTGGTCACTTGCATTTCCAGTACATCAGGCAGTTTGATTGGCTATCGTGATTGATTTGGTTATGGTTTTGCAAACATCCATCGAAAAGTGCTCTTATCATTTACTTTTACATTGGTAACTTAACCAGAATCAGAAATTGTGTTCAAAGTAAATCTTGTGTTTGTGTCTGACAATTTTGATCTTCACTAGGACTAAAACATTTTTAGAATTAAAAAGATAAAAGCAATTATGATATCACCTAAATTGTTGCCCTTTTTAATTCTCAGAATGGCACTATTTCACCTTGAGGATTTCAGAGTTGCCAGAGAAGCATTTTCAGATGCATTAAAACTTGACCGTAAGCCAAATAAACTCCTTTTTACTACTTTTAAATAAATTTATACATTTCAGTATGTTTCTAGTGGAAGTACTGTTGATATGCTTCAAAACCATTTCTGTCACTTGTTTGCAGAAGAAAACAAAGAGCTGAAAATGTGGATTAGAAAGTGTGATGCTGAATTGGACTGTAAGTTTATGATTGATATTATTATCATTATGATCATTATTAGTTTTATATTCCCATCAGGGTTGTCATTAATAAATGTGATACAGTGGACAACTGATAACTCAAACCTGTAAGGGAAATTAAAAGACGTTGGAATTATTGGGAGTTAATGAGTTGAAAAAAAAAAAAAAGGGATGGGAAATAAGGAAAAAAAATGGTGTTCCCTGTTTTTTTTTTTTTTCATCCAGTATATACTTCAATCAAAATTAATTATAGAGAAGTTGAGTGAAAATTGAACACAAAATGACTATAGAAATCAGATGGAATGTAACTATTTGTTTTGATTTGTCACATATTGATAGACATGTTTTGAGGTAGTGAGGATAAAAGGAAAGTGTATATAGAGAATGACCTGTAGGCAAATGAAAATTGCTTTGAGTCGGGGGGGGGGGTTCAAGTTATCAAGAGTTTGAGTTATTATCAGGAGTCAACTGTAGATGTGTGATCTGAACTGAGTAGGTGGCTAAATTAAAGATTTTGGATTTATACTTTGTTGAGTAAATAAAACCATGTTTTGTTTTTTATTGTGTCATCAGTGGCAGAAAATGAAGCTAAACAAGATGAAAATTCTCCTGAAACGGTATGGTACATAATCTTGCAAATTATGAAGAACACATACATGTGAAAACACCATAAAGAAATTGATATTGAATTTCTCTCACATGACTGTATATCTGGCATTGGTTATATCTTAACCACATATAACTGAATTAACCTCAACTTATCACACTAAGAAATGTCATTACTGGAAAATTCTGTACAGTATATTCACAATTTTACCAATACTTTAAGTAGTCCATATCATAGTTGTGTGCTTGGTTGCCAAGCCTTTGAACAGCAGTGAGGCTAAGAGTGACCTTGTTGTATCCAAATGTTGCTGCTTTTCTCTTTCACAAGGTTAGCTTCAGCCTTACTCCAAATCAAAGGCTTGGCAACCAAGTATCCGACTGCAAATTAAAAGGGCCTATTTGTCAATTTGCATACTAGGAATCTGCCATATTTAAACTGTATTATTGTAGGTGATGGTGGGCGTGGCTAGTGGGGAGGATTCTCAATTGAAACAAAAAGGTGACAATACCAAAGAGGCTGAGGCAGCAAGCAAAGTTAACCAGCAGCCCCCAGTTGTCAAGCCTATGGCTTCTGATGGTCATACAGCATCTGTGACAGGTCCACCATCATCAGTTTTGGCTGCCATTGATGGGCAGTCTAATCAAGAACAACCAGAGCAGCAATACACTGTTTCAAAACCAAGGTAAATTGTTGAAGTGCAGATATCCAATGTTTGAATTACTGCAAACCATGTTTAAGGTTGCTTGTCAATAACTGGGTGTTCTGAGTGGTAATTACAGGACCTGTCATTTTTAACCAATCAGAATACTGTGGGTGAATGCACCATGTTTGAAAACAAAAGTATCCGTGTTGGCCCTTATTTCTTAGTGCCAGACCCCTCTTAATGCTTTGAATCTTATTAGCTTTGCCATTTGTGCTAACTTGAGAGCAAGCTCATAGGTTAATTTAAAATTTTTTCTTTGTGATAATGAAATAATTATTTGAATCATTATGGTAATACTTAAGGGTTTTAAATAAGTGAATTTATTACACGATTCAGGCAGTCAGACGGCCAATAACTAAAATCAACCAATCAAAATGCTCTATTGCCGGTCAATATTCTCTCATTATTATCCAACTACACCTAGACGAGTACGAATAACGCCATAGGCAAGTACAAATATCACAAAGTATTTGTACTCGTCTATTAAAGTACCGGTTAAACTGGTTTTCTTGCATCGCGCAAGCGAAGAATTGGATTATAGTTACGGAAAAAAAAAAACTGGCGCACAATTTCAATCATATTTCCGATGACGAAGAGTCAGAATGGCTGGCAAATATAGATCCAGGTTCATTTGATGAATCGAACGAAGAAAAACAGCTTGGCGACCAGAAAATTTCTTCAATTAATGAAGAAAATAGAAACAGCAACACAACAACGCGCCAATTCCGTTCTGCTTCGCATACTTCTGTCACGCACTCCCTGTAAATAAATATCCATGAAATTCGCCTGCAGAAACAACAGTTTGGCTTGTTGGATAATAAATAACTTATTAGTTGTTTTGTTGTGTAGTATCGCTGAGTATTTTTACTCGTCAAAATACGACACAACTCGTAAAAATACTTAGTGATACTACACAACAAAACGTCTAATAGGATATATGTACTAGACCGGGCACTGTCCCGAATGGTCCCGAATGATACCGCACTTGTGTCCCTTTGAACTTCAGTTGTATAATAAATCTCTTATTAACCAAGCTTGCTCGGGACCTTACTGGAAGAATATCGGCCCTCGTTCTTTCTTGTACGGACCTCGCTGCACTCAGTCCTTACTGTCAAGACCTCGGGCCGATATTCTCCCAGTACGGCCCTCGTGCTTGGTTAATAAGATATATTTAATTATTGATTCAGTTGGGAAAACTGGATATAAATTCATTTCAATATTGGACCTCATCGACATTATTTTGTTTTAGATATGATTGGTATCAAACAGAAACACAAGTTATTGTAACTTTGATGATCAAGAATGTAAAAGAGGAGAATGTTAATGTGGAGTATGGAGACCAAACGGTAAGAGGCATCATTCTTCTAGCTATTTACTTTTGATTATTTTCTTTGCCAGATTAATAATGCAACATTACTGCCAATGGTGGTAAAAAATCATATATTCATGTAAATAGGGCTTTCATCCAGAGTTGTTGTTGAAAAGACTTTGATTAAAAAAACTGTGCTGGTTTTCAAGAACATGTAACAAAGACAAATTACATTTTTTTGTTGATGTCGCACATGTGTATAGTTTTATAGTTCAGGGAGCAGAGTGTTTTTAGAGAACTGTTCCGAAGGATCTCAAGATTAGTTTCTGTTAAGAGCAGTTTTGAAGGATCTCGATATTAGTTTAGTTTTTGGTGTATCATCTAACCAGATGTTGAGGCAGGAAAGTAGTGTAAAGAAACAAGAGAATTTAATATGACTGTGTACATGTACACAGCAGCTTCATGTCTAAATTGAAACATTGCTCAGACTAACAAATTGAGAATTCTCCCATGTGGAATGCATAATGGACAATACTCTGAATGATGACTGCTGCTAATTTGTCTGGAAAATCAGACAGAATGCTGGGGAAATAATCCCATCCCATCGAGAGGATTAGCAATATCTGTGCTTCTAGTTATTACTTGGCATTAAACCTTTGAGTCAGAACACACAGTTGAAACACTTGATCTGATTTGTTGTAGTTGAGTGCCACAGTGAAGCTTCCAAGTGGCAGTGACTTCAGCTTAGAAGTGGATCTTGCTCATGCAATCAATCCAGCACAGTGCAAAACAAGAATCATGTCAACAAAGGTAAAAACTGTTTTTTTTTGTTTTTAATTTGTACTCCCTTACAGTACAAGGTTAAGAGTTAAGAAACAAAGATATACCATCAATACAGTGAGATCATTATAGTTTGTAAAGTGTTAAAAAAACTCTTTGCACAGATTTTTCAACGCAGTCAGCTGGTGACCATGTACAAGTACAGTAGGAATGTCTGTTGTAAGGAAAAAAACTTGTTCAAAACTTATTGTTTTTGAATGTGTAGGCACTTAAAACAAGACAAATGTTCAAATGGCTTTAAAAAAGGCTGATAAACATTCACAATTAAGAAGAATGAAGGGTTCTTACCAGAGGTTTGGGTATTACTTTACTTTCACTTTTAAGTTAATAGGTACATGCAAGGAAATGCAGGGTGTACAGTGACAAGAATTTTAGAGTTTTTTTTTATTATTTTTTTCTTAAAGATTTTTTAACTGGCTTGCAGGTTGAATTAAAGATGAAAAAAACTGAAGGAATTAGGTGGTCATCTCTTGAAGCTACTGATGACACTGTGTGTAAACCGTTCCCAACAAAAGGTATGTGCAACACTGATTTGTGTAGACTACATTTTAAAGCTCGTGGAGCTCAGTTTAGCAACTGTACTTTTAGCATCTGGCAACGTTTAGCTCATTTAAGTTAACTCAGTGGCATTTCTCTTCGTACCCTTTAACAGTTTGGTAGGTTGCATTCATGCATTATCATACTGTCATCTGGAAAAGGGTACTGTCTCTGAGAGTATTGTGTCTAGCCTATGAACACAATACAAAATAAGTAATTCAGTCAGGGGTGAACCCGACTGGTGTGAGGCACTTGTCTTCCAGCACTTTTTACTTCTAGCTGGGATTGTTCTTGGTTTTTTCAGCATGAGTAACATAGGTAACAGGGTTGCCCTGTACAGATCATGACTTGTTAACACTTCCAAGGTGGCAATAGCTCTCTTGCAAAATACTAGGCAGGTCATGGGAAGTTACTTCTGATATGATTGTTTCCTGCAAACATTGACAATGTAAAATACATCTACCTTGTCTGTTGCAGATGAAACAAAAGACCCTGGTGATATGGTGCATAAATATCCTACTTCACGGCATGTTGGAAAAGATTGGGATAAAGTTGCAGCACAGATTGCCAAGGAGGAGAAAGAGGAAAAACTGGAAGGGGAAGCTGCTTTAAATCAGCTGTTTCAACAAATTTATGGTGATGGTAGCGAGGAAGTGCGGAAAGCAATGAACAAGTCATTCGTCGAATCTGGTGGAACAGTTTTGAGTACAAACTGGGATGAAGTTAAAAAGGGGCATGTGGATTGTAAACCTCCAGATGGAATGGAATACAAAAAATGGGACAGTTAGATGGCTTGGACAATGAGTTCATCTTGCAGTTCTTGTATGCATCATCTGACACTGAGAAAAATTTCATATTTTTGTACTCTGTGCCATTTAGAATTGAAGAGAAAGGCTGTCTTTTGTTTGTTGCTGCAGGAAGAGAATGGTTGATTTTCAACTTCCTTCCTAACTGGTACAAGTGGAGAAGATGTAGACAGAAAGACAAGCAGTTGTAAAGTGCTCCAAGCTGCAACCATGTTGGTGGCCTTGGTTACTGGAAGAACATCTTGGCTTCTAAATTTGCAGCATAATTCATCAATTTTTGCAAATTCTTTTTGGCAGTCTTACAGCAAGTTGTAATGTCTTAACCCTTTAACTGCCATGAGTGACCAACATAGAATTTCTTCTTACACTATCAGTGAAATACAATATCAAGTAAACAAGTGAGGAGAATTTAAAATATATATATATATCAATGAAGTGATTATTAGTTGATCCAATACCAAATTCTCTGAACTAACATAAGAATTGTATAGCAGACAGTAAGGAGAGTTACTAACAAAAATGAGATCTTGGAAGTGGAAGGGTTAAGTTTACAACTTGGTGTTTAGGGTCTGAAGTCAAAGAGATATACATTTCTGGAAAATATTGGTGATGCTGTCATTTCTCTTATCCAAATCTGCCTCTTTTTCTTTGCTTGCCTGAGTACTAAGGCCTCAGATGTTGCGCGAATCTTGAAAAAAAGAATGTCAGACAGACGTACAGTACCACTTACTCCAAAGACAAATGGCTGTGGTCAGCAGTAGATTTTTTTTAGATACAATTTTTTTTTTTTTTTTTTGACAAACTAATTTTTGTTCTAGCAATGATTTTAAGATTTTAGATTGCTAAATAGCAGCTTTGAAAAATGTTTAAGCTTGGAGCTCTATTCTAGGTCTGTGTATTATGCCTGGCAGTCTGTTTTGCTGTTGAACATTTATTTCTGTACCACTGCAATTCAGGTAACTAAAAAAGATTGAAACACTGCTTAGAAAGTATGTAGATAACTCCTGATTTCTGTAACAACCATTCCCGTGAACGTAGTGAGTAAAAAGCCTTATTCAACTTAAAAATCTATACAGAGGTATGTTTGGAAGGGCATGGTCTCTGAGTTTGAACAGTAAAAAAAAAAATTATTTTAACGACTGATACTTAGCATAACTTACAGCACTGCAAGAAAGTAGGCCCAGTCTGAAAGTACATGTAAAATGATTATTAACTCTTATGAACTCACAAGGTCTGATTGTAAGTCCTCCCCTATAGCTGCTACACATTTCTTTGTAACTTAGTCACAAGAAATTGATGTTAGGTAGATCAAGATAACTTTTTTAAGTATTCTCATTACCTGATTGCTGGATAGTGTACAGATATAATGAGAAATTACACGTTAATCAGTTCTGCAAGGTAAAGGTTAATGAACACATATTTATGGTCACTGTTTTTGGCATTAAATTTTGTGAAATTTTTGATATGAAGGCACTCTTGTTAATAAATTGCTGTGCAGTTTTAAATAACCACCCTGTCTGTACATCTTGATCTTTTCAGAGTGCCCGTGTTAAAGAATGTCTAATGCATTTTTTAAAAACCTGCTGATCACTGCAGTCAAACTGTTATGAACCACAGGGGTAATTGGAATCAAGTTATGATGCAACTGATAGACAGCTAAATTCTCCTTTAAAAATAATTATCTTGCATTTCTTTTAAAACACAAGGGGAATCTGATGCTGCATCAAGTCACTCAGGCTTATTAAAATTCAGGCACCTCTTCCATTTTTTCATTGCATGTAGCTGAAGCACCGTATATATTTTAATTCTACAACAGCAAAACACACAGTATGTACACTGACTGTGGTTCACGGCCCAGCCTGTTATAGAGGTCTCACTCAGTGGAGATAATTAAAAATTAAAGCAAATTGTAGATGAGAGTCATGAATGAATGCGTTCTATCCCAGTATTCAGCCATTTGTAACTCTCCAAATTTGTCTTAATCATCAGTATGACCGTGAGCCCAAAAAGGCTACAGTGTCAGTGCCTTCATAAGCTGTAGTTGATTTGGTGACAGCATTCCTCCAGGATTGTGAGAATGGTTGAGAAGTTTAGGCTTTTCAGTTATTAAAATTTTGCCAAGCTTCCTTTTTTTGTCAGCCTCCACCAGTGGGGTTAACATATGAGTTACTGAACAAGCCAAGCTCTGAAAATATTGCCACTCTTTGTCATTCCAAGAGAGTTAAATAAACCTCAAGTTCACATTTATGCAGTTTTTTTTTTAACTTCAATACAGTGGAACCTCGATTTAACAAAGTGCCAAGGGACTGGGGAAATTGGTTTGTTACATCGAGGGTTTGTTATATCAAGGTTCTGTGATATACATTTTACTGTAACTTTAGCCGGGCTGAAACTGAAGTATGGTTCATTATAAAGAGGGCTTCGTTATATAGAGGTTCGTTAAGTCGAGGTTCCACTATATCTCACATGGGAATAGCTGATGCCAGCCATAAATGAGAGGGACCCATTATTTTCAACTTTCAAAACTATTTGTATTCACTGTGGAGAAAGAAAGTAAAATTATGAATTTATTATTGAGTTATGTACTTGAAGAAAGAAACTAACTCACAGCACATTCTGCTTAAAACACATTTTGACATTGTCTAAAAAATGAAAATGTTGTTGGTCGGTTTTTTCTATTCAGCAGTGAACCAGCTAAATGCATGGAAAGTTTAAGTTTTTTCGTTTCTTTTGTTTGAGATCACACACTAGGTCCCACATATTGATGGTTTGTGTCACTGCCTACTGTGCAGAGGGCAGTGACAACTTGTGGCAGTCCATTTCCCAGACATTTCATAAGAGCATACATTTTTCACATCTTGTCTCTTGTAGGGGCACACATGCAGCACAACTTTATACAGAAACCAATAATCCGAGTAAATATTGGCTTGACTTCAAAAGAATGTTGTTGATTTCGAGCAAGTCTTTCATTCAATAAATCTGAAGCAGTCGCTTGCCACTTTCCACAGAGTTCCTCCCTCAGCAGTCAGCAAAAAGTTTTGAGAAAACCGATGCATCTTGAGCCCATCATATTTGACCAACCCCTCAACCACCACTAGAACTGTTGTTTGGCCAGGGATGGCTTGATCTGATTGTGGAAAGAAACACAATTAAACCATATGCACAGTGAAGAAGGGTTTGTCAAGAGAGCCCTGGAATTGCAAACTGGTGGTACCTGCTTTGAGCCTTAGGGTCCTAACTAGAGGTGTTCAAATAGTTTGTTTTCCCTAAATTGGTATTATTAATTCTCATATCTTTAAATTAGAATTTAACTCGTTTCTCTGATTATTGTTGTGAAGCAAATTTAAAACTGACATTGAATTTTCACTCTATAAATTCTTCAGCAATGGGTTTGATCCACTCAGGTAGAGGCCATGAGAGGAAGGAGTACAAATATCTAATCCTTCAGAGAATTGCTTTGTGTCACCAATTCAAGGTAATTAATTAAAGTATTGGCATACAGCAAATTAATGGAATATAAATTAGGTTTTGGATAGGTTCAGACCATTGTTACTTCACTATTGACACTTTTCACCCGTGTATCACTCATCCTGTACTTTTTTTTTTATAACAAACAAAGCTTCTTAAGTTAGTAATCATATCTTTTATTCTCATAGCTTTAAGGTCGGCACACACAAGGGGACTAGTCCCTGCGACTAGTCCCGGCAACAAGTCTTTGAAGGGTTTACATGAGGGGACCGGTAGCAGGGACTAGTCCCTTAAGGCGTTCACACGAGGGCACTCAATTGCACAAGAACATAGGAAAATTAAGAGGCAAAAGATGTTTCTTAGTCTGGGGCATTACACAAAAACAATGAAAATTTGGTAACTTTTCATTGTAGCACTGTTAAACATCAACGCAAATGAACTGCACTTATTCAGTTGGATTATTCATGATTGTTCCATTTTTCTTTATGTTTTTTTATTTTTAACAGACACAGAGTAAAATAGGGTAAAAATTGCATCAAAACAGCTCCAAGACATCTGTATATGTTTACAAAACTAGAAATCTAGAATTCAGGGAAAATTCATAAGAAACTGCAGTGTTTACAAATACCGGAAGTCACGCATTATACTGACCCGTGATTGGCTTATTTACCGTTTAGTTGCAAGGACTGGTCGCACAAACAGTTCACATGAAGGGACAAACATTTGTTTCATGCAACAAGTCCCTGCGACCAGTCGCAGGGACTAAATTTTGGTCCCTGTGACCACAGAAATGTGTAGTTCACACGAAGGGACTAGTCGCATGAAACTGGTGGCTGGGACTAGTCCCAGGGACTAGTCCCCTCATGTGTGCCGACCTTTAATGTTTGATTCACGGGAAATACTTAATGGAAGAATGAGGTACCAGTCACTCTAAGGTGTTAAAGGCTTAATCAATTAACCACAGAGTAAGATAAAAGGTAACGCCTGCTTATGAGCCAAGTGGCCTATCAGGCTGGCGCTTAACTCCAGTTTCCATAGCATGAAGTGACTAGGAGTATTTCTACTCCCCCCCCTCCCTGGATGAAATGCTAGTCCATCACAGGGTTAACACAGAGTGCAGGACCATAATTTGTCAGCAAATTTAAAGAATAATTATGAGGATTGTGTCGTCTGATTGTCCTGGTGAGAGCAGCCCTGAGAAGGACTGTTATCGTTTATAGTGGCTGACGTTTTGACAAACTGAGGGGAAGTCATCACCAGCTCATCAGTCAGTCATCAGTTGATGATGACTTCTGTTCAAGTTGTCAAAATGTCAGCCACCACTACAGAAAACACTTCATCTCTGGACTACGCTCACCAGACGATCACACCACACGATCATACGTTACCTACCCCCGGGTTCAAATCATCTACTGTAATAATTAAAGAATAACACCGTAAGTACACCTGTAATAATTCTGGTTAATAAAATCTAAACAATTGCCTCTATAACCTGCAGATTTAACACTCTTAGTACCTGAAACTGGTTGACAGTCCAGAGAATGGAGTGTGTGTTCCGTGGCTGGAAGGTTGTTGAAAAATTCCGTCACTTTAGCACTTCCTCCTTTTACTAAATTTCCATTCCAAACGATTGTTGTATTCTCGGAGTAAAGTTTCGACATGAGCTGCAAACACAATTATGACATACTCGAGCCTACTGTCAACGAATTTAGGTAAAGAACATTTGAGCATTTGGTAAATTTGAGAAAGGCTAACGAAGAACTCACGTGGCGTCGTTTGTCCAAAGTCTCGTAGTAAACATTGCTAAATTCCTCCCCTGCCTGGGTCGCTTGATCGATGGCGTTTCTTAGACCCTGTTAAAAAAAAAAAAGAGGTCCAAACCATTTAATTAGACTAAGATCTAACTCCGGAATAACAATATCACCACCTACATCAACTTTGGCCGCCATTCTGTTTTCTGTTAGAGCATACCGCTTTTAATCAAAATGACGGCTCGGAAATAGTCGCGGTTACTAAGTGAGTAGGCTTCTTCGCAAGCATGTGACGAAAACAAAATGTTTATGCCCTGAAACATCCAGTCCAACCATTGTCCTTTTTTTTTTTCCTTTTTTGTTTCGACCCATTAGAACATCATGTGGAGAGAAGCTTTGATATGGCTGCAAATTTTGGTGCAAGTAGCATTTAGTGGTCGGGAAACTTGTTCAAGTTTTGGTTACAACTTGAGTTCGTTTTACTCCAGAGCCAAGATTATTTCATCGAACGACGGAAAGACAACATGTGGATGTTCTGTGCACAAACGAGATAAAGCTTCCATTGAGCAAGGATTGACACCAAAGAAAAAGAACATAGATGAGAGTGACTATATGAAATCGTCTTATAAAAGAACAAATCAGATGGTTTTTATTAAGGGTGGGAAATTTACCATGGGCACGAACAAACCATTTCTGCCAATGGACGGCGAAGGGCCGGCAAGAGAAGTGAAAATAAATTCATTTTATATGGACGTTTATGAAACAAGCAATGCGGAATTTGAATTTTTTTTCAACAACACTGGTTATGTCACAGAGGTAGAGACATTACTGTAATGCTGAGTATATGATGCCTGCAATTACAACCCCTCCCCTCTTTTTTTATTTTAGAGGGGCCAGAATCTGAATTTTTCAAATTGGGAACCGATGGAATCCTGTCTTTTGCTAACGGATGGGGTTGAATATTGGAATATCCTATTAATAACACCTTATAGTAAAGTTCAGATAAACTTAGAAGCAGATAGAGCACTTGACTATGTCATGTGTTTCCCCCTAAACTTCTTTCGTGTTCTAGCTGCTTCCTGCTTGCTTTATGTAACAGAAGAGAACATAGTCAAGGCTTTTTTATTTGTTAAGTAAAATATCATGACTTTGTAACAACCCTTTAATTCCTCTTGGGAGGTAGGGATGAAATGAAGGCTTTAAAGTTGATTAAGAAATGAAAGTGGGTTTTGCACCAACAATGAGTTTGCCTGGAAAAAAAATGTAAACAGTATGAAAGCTATGCTGCATTTGGTGAACCCTTTAATGGTGTTCACTTTTTTTTTTGTTATAAATTGGTTAATTACTCTCCTTTCTTTTTCCTGCACCTCTTACCTGCTGCATCCTCATGAAAAACTTCTGATCTAATGACTTGCTTCTTTTTCCTTATTCTTTTCATAACTTTCAGGCTGAAAAGTTTGGAGATTCATTTGTGCTTGAAGGGAAGATTAGCAAAGAGATAAAGAAGGATATACATCAAGCAGTGAGTGATAAAATTCATTTCCAGGCACTTTAGTGTTTCAGATAGGCTCGATTTCTGCTGCTTTCTCGAGTCCGGTCTTTTTTGTACCTCCCCAGAGACCGAGAGGGTCTCTTCAGGGAGGAGTGCAAGCTCTTCTTCCCAACCAGAGGCTGGTAATGGAGCCTATATTTCAGAGTGATTATGAAAACAATGTTAACTGGCAAGGATGACAACAGCATTGATGACACGGAAATAACTTCCACCAAATGGCAAAATTTGTAATTATGATGGCCGAAAACTCCAAAAGCAACCAGCAACTGATGAAAATTAATACCTACTTGGTAGTGTTGTTTAGTTGTCAGTTTACTCTGCTTTGGTGACGTATTTTTAAGTGAAACATGGTTAAACATTTTACCTACAGTACCTCAGTAGTAGTGTCCTTCCAAACTCCCCAATAATCCTAAAGGTGGCGACAAGTGGATGAGAATGACGATTGATAACATTTGGTAATCTTGATGTAGACTCAAACTGTGTGAAGGGGTGTGTACAGTACGATGGTGATTCTCTGCTTTGCAGCTTTGCTACTGGTATGGTTGCAGTACTTGTCCATGTACATGTATGTCCCTAAATTACTATCCGTCTTCTCTATCGTAATGTCAGGTTGCTGCAGCTCCTTGGTGGCTGCCAGTAAAGGGAGCTTATTGGAAGAAACCAGAAGGACCTGACTCTCACATTAGAGACAGGTAATGAGAGAGATTTTTTACTCAAAATAAGTGGCCTTCTCAGTGAAGGGGTTCATCCCAGTTTCTGATGACTAGTGGGATTAAAAGCTGGCAAGTGTTTTTAGAATGGTGGCTATTTCCTCACAAATTACCTCAAGCATTTCATTTAGATTTGTTGAAAGGCTATGTGAAGTACACATTCATTCATCATGTTGGAGAGAAATAAGACAGGGGGAAGTCTCTGACTCGAGAATACAATGAGGTGAACCAAATTGAGGGCACAAACTTGAATTTTTTTTGGATGTGGATCTCCACCATGCCAATTATTACAATCATGTAGTCTACTGCATCTATGTCTCTCACACTTGCTACAACTGAGTAGAATGCATTTGATTGGTTTGATTGTTCTCTCAGAATGGATCATCCAGTTCTCCATATCTCCTGGAATGATGCTGTTGCATTTTGTAAATGGGGTGAAAAAAGACTGCCCACAGAAGCTGAATGGGAGTATGCCTGCAGAGCAGGACTGCAGGACAAGTTAGTGAACTTGATTACTGGAACATTACAGACTGATTTTCAACCACTGATTCCATGTTGAATCAGAGTTTGGAATGTTTGTTTTTGTGTTAGCAAGAAAGTTAGCAGAAAATGATTCCCTGGAGGATGAAAACCTAAATCAAACTCAACCGGCACAACAATTCCGGGTCTGGAAATCACATCTGAGGCCAATTTAGTTTTCTCTGAGGGCATTGTGACTTTGCTGAGCAAATGTAGATTTAATTGACAAATCAATTTCATTTTGTTGTGTGTTTGTTCAGTGAGATCATAGAATGGCATCAGTGACACTCAGGTGGAAATTGTTTTTCTTAACCCATTTTGACATCTCTGAGCAATTACTGAATAGACCCACAGCAACATGAAATGTATTTGGTTTATCTGGTTAAAGAAGTAAAAACTTTTTAATGGCAACATTATCTAATTTTAAGCATCCGCCCTCCAGCAGATCATAAGTGAGAACAAAATCACAATTTGAGCTTAATTCAGCTAATCAATCTAAATGGTTCTTTTGCACCTCATTCACGAATTTATCCAGGTTTTACTGTCAGTTGTTAGATTAAAGTAAATGACTGTAACCTTCCTATGAACCATTTTAACTTTCAGGCTATATTCTTGGGGTAACAAGCTTAAGAAAGATGGTCATCACATGGCAAACACATGGCAAGGAAGGTTTCCAACAGTGGACTCAGGGGAGGATGGGTACTCTGGTACAGCGCCTGTCACAGCATTCCCACCCAATAAGTTTGGTCTGTACAACATGCTGGGAAATGCGTGGGAGTGGACACAAGATTGGTGGAGTATACGGCACTCAAGCCACTTCCAAGAAAATCCAGTAAGTTAGTTTGGTTTTGTACAAGACTCATTTGCATATATATGTTGTGGGAAATGTGGGGGCTTAATTGATGAGTGTGCTGGACTGCTGTTTGAGAAGTCTACGATGAGCCTTCCTGGAATCATTGTATTGTTTTCAAGGGGGACAGACAAGCATCTCCAAGGGTAAACGGGTACTAACAAACTGTCAGGGTACTTGACAAAATGCAACTAGGTTACCTGTAAATGATTTTAAAAGAGGTAAGTTTCTGAAGAAACTGTAGTGCTGTGTTGGTGGAAGGTATCACTAGTCAATTTGGTTTTATCAACTGTTTTGATAAAGTAAGTTGGCCATAGAGTTTTTCTTAAGCTGACATTTCTAGGGTCTTTCCCTTAATTTGTACTTTGCTCTGACAAAGGGGTAATGCTTGAAATGTCGGCCCTAGAAATTCTCTGCAATGGTCAATTCACATCATCAACTCAGTTGACAAAACCAACTTATCTACAGCAGGTTACATGTGCATGTAGTTTAATAGCACCTCATCCCAGAGCATACTCCAAGTTTCTTGGTGCTATCTTGGTAACTGGAGTTAGGCACAGGCAGGTATTGGATATTTGGCAGTTATTAGCTATTTACCAAATGTAAGGCTGACCAGATCAGTTTTAAGACCCAATTGCACACAGGGAGTGTGGAGCATGACCAAAGGTCATTTTGCACAACAAGAATACACTTGGGAGAATTTTCAAGTTAGCTCAATTTTCCCTGCTATCTTGCATCCAAATATTTAACCCATTGGATACCCTAAAGCATTTTGCAGGTGAAAATTATGCTTGCTAAGATGAATTATGCTCATGAATATTGATTGCCACCCATAGAGAGCTTTTTTCTTACAGGATGCATGCTGGTGCATGCTCCTGGTGCATGCTCCTGGTGCATGCTCCTGTATCAGCTTCAAGAGGATACACACTTAAACAAAACCAATGCAATGATAGGAAAACTTCAGAGCGCTATACGATTGAGTGTCTTAAAACCAAAACCAAAGTAATCACAATAGCTGATCAAAAGAAAGGAAAATACCTTAAAGAGCCAATATGAACTCAAAGTAAAAACAAACAAACTGCCTAAAGCGCGGCAAAACACAGGCGACCAAGTCACACTTTGTTTTAGTTTTGCATTTGATTGGTTGAGAGAGTTGCACGAGTTTTCTGGACCAGTCGCAGAGCAAAGTAAAGCAGAGCTAAAGCAATCTCAGATTAGTTTCGACACTCAGTTGAAAGTTTCTCTAACACTCATTTAATAATAGCTTTATATGAACACCATAAGAGGTCATTATAATCTCCATTGGTTTAGAAAGGACCTGCATCAGGAAGGGATAAAGTGAAAAAAGGCGGATCCTACATGTGCCACAATGTGAGTCGGCATTAATGCTCAATGGTAATTTTGTCTAAAATTATGGCCTTGCTCTGCTAGGTCAACAGTTCAAGTCCTGTTGAAGCAGTGAAATTTTCAAGGCTTCCTTTCACGTCTTCGTAAACTGTGAAATCCCACTTCCACCTTTGTTTTTTTTTTTTTCTTTTTTTGCTGGGCATTTAATTACTCTAAGGAATACTAGATAGGGTATCTTTTATATCAGTTTTTTCATTTCAAGAGCTTTGCTACCAACATTCATTGGTATTTTTGCATTTTATTCCTTTTCTTTTTCAGTCGTATTGTTACAGATATCGGTGTGCTGCTAGAAGTCAGAATTCTGCTGACACCACAGCTTCCAATCTTGGCTTACGCTGTGTCAGTGATAAACGACCTAATGGTGTACAGCTAGTCAAATAACCAGCAAGATATGTATTTTTGCCTAAATTGGTCAGAGACTGAAGTGAACTATGTGTATTGCTTGGAATGAAGCAAAGTAGAACCAGGGCAATCTGTGAATTCTGCCGGCACTCAGGTGACAATTGCCATAGCGAGCTCTTTCTCGGTGATTGATCAACTCGTGCCTGATAACTTAGCTGTATTTGATCTTTCAAATACATGATGGCTAGGAAAGGATAAGTGTGACTGTTAATTGTTGCTTGATTAGGATTTTTAATGGTTGAACTACCTTACATTGTTGGCAATGTAACCAACTCCCCCCTCCCCCCCACAATGTATGAAGACAAACTTTACTCCAAGCTCTAATTTTGATGAGTGTCGTTTTCTTGATAGAACTCAAACATCCACGGTTAAGGTGTCTGATTTAAACTTGTGTCTAATTTGGCTTTCTTTTAAAGAAGAAATGTTTCTGCTTTTTTGAGAAAGAAAAGGGGGAGGGGACCACTATATCAAAATTATGACAACGTGTGCTTTCTGAGATGGTGGAATGTGGGTATTGGTACCGTTTATTGTGCCAAATCCTGAAAAGAACCCTGCTCAACTTCCGATTATCGATCGGATAAATGATGCGAAAGTTAGCTGTATATTCTTTCTATTTTACGCAAATCCCATTCATTATTTCTGAATTGTTTACTTGGAAAAACCCGNATTAAACTTTGATTACTATTACTATCTCTATTTTGTCTGAGATCACTGGAGTGCTTGCTCTCCAGTATATGGCGTTGCTATGCGGTATCTAAGCACATGATCTCTAACCGCAAAAGGCCTATAATGTGATTCGATCTCGCATAAATAATTCTTTGCGTATCTTCTGCTCTGTAAACAGTTGCAGTTTTCTGGAAAACAGTTCAGTTGTCTTTCTATCAGCAAACCAAGGGTATGTGTAATTCAGTCTCACTTTACTGAAACATCGAGGCTTGCTAAGGCTACGAGAGGCTTGAGGTCTCAAAATCATCTTGTAAAACCTTCAGTGTAGATTCTAACTCATAAGGTCGACAGACTGAGACCCGAGATTGTGATAAAGCTGTCTGCTACAGTAGGTGAACGGTACATATTTGCAAAGTCATCGTGTCTCCACAAATACGAGTATTTTATTTCCCCAGCTCATGCTTTTAGCCTCGGTTTTTTATGTTTAAGGTCGCTCAAATGTGTTTACCTTGTTTGAATTTAAAACTCGTCTAAATTTTAACTTGCACGCTCGGGCAATTTTTTCGTGTATTGAGTGGCGACCGTAGCAGAAAATCGAGATAATTGAAATCTTTTTTCTTTTCCTCCTTTGGAAATCAGCAAGCCCCTCGAGAGAGAGTTACGTCGGGTATGTCCCCATGGACTGCTCTTCTTGAGCTCAAAAGTCAACTTCAAATTAACCGAACATTGGTCACTTTTGATACATTTTCTGGCTTTATTCAGTTTAATATTTACTTAAAAGTTCAATCATTTCTAAGATATTTTTGTTTTGCCGAGTAGCCACTTGCTTCGGTCTGAATTTGAATGCGTTAAATTCGTGACCAGTTCTTTAGCGTCACCCGGTGTTTGATCGCTCTCCCAGCTTTACAATTCCAAATTTTGTAGGCGCTTGTAATATGCCGTGCTGCTCATGGAAGAGTTCGGATATAGGGGTCCTACTTAACAGTTGCGATGAAAAGATGGATTAGCGATTGACTTCCGATCAGTTAACACGAAGGATAAGTTCTGCTCCCAAAGTTGTTCTGTTGTCCGAGCGACGTAAAGTTAAGTTTGTCTCAGTGACCTTGATCATATAGGAGGTTTCGAATCAAGACAACGTGACAATCGCTCTGCATATTTTAAATCAGTTTCCTGAAGAAGTTGTTATTATTATTATTATTATTATTATTATTATTATTATTATTACTATTATTATTATTATTATTATTATTATTATTATTTGATCTAGATAAGTACGCGCTATTTACATTTTTCGCGTATTTAATATTCAAATTGAAACGTAAGCCCTGACGCGTAAATTTGTAACGCACCTTAATATAGATTCAAATGTACAACCGTTAGAAGCTCATTTGCAACTGAAGATGACATGAGAATGTCCAAACATGTCTTGTAAATTCAAACTCAAAGTTGTCGTGTCTTTTTTGTGAACATTAAACTACAAAAGAAATAGTTCAATGAACAGTTTGATTTAGGATTTCCTTTAACTTTCCGTGGCAGAATTTTTTCCTAAGTTTTGAGCGCATCAACTTTTACTTCTTGGTGCAATGAACCATCTTTCCACTGTAGATTACACTAAATGTAAATAATAAAAAAACTCCTGTCTCATCCTTTTTCCATATGTTGATTGTAACAGATGTTAGTCCGGGTTATAGATAGCACAAACAATATTGGGAAATACTATCAGACGTATTTCCATCACAAACAGAATAAATACCTAACCTTCAAGTTTTTCCAAAACTTCTTAATCGTGTCGGTGGATATCCCTTTCGTATCCTTCACAAAATGGGCTTCGCTGTTCTCCAACGCCATTGCATGACCATTTC